CAATAAATTCGAAATTGTCATTCTATTCATTTTGTGCTATCGGCTTTCATTTGGTTTTGCAAATGGCAACCACGTTCTTTGTGTGTCCGCCACTTTTGATATTAGAACATTTTTAAATTTAAAAATACAAGCAATGCTTTTAACATTGTTAATATTTTCTTTAACCACCACTAGTAAGCTGAAAATGCTTGTGTCAGGAGTGGTTCAAGACAATAGTTGAATGGCGGTCCACATCCTGATATATACGAATATTAGCGTAAAATAGAAGCTTAATGCTGCTGTGTTTCTTATGGTGAGTGTAGAGAATCAAAGACCCTTATTACTGGAAACTAGGCATTCCATCTTGGTCCTCAGGGTTGACATGGCATCTGAATTTTGATTCTTAATCGAGAATAAATCAAGATGTCTATGGGCCGCAGCATACACTTATCATAAGATGGACTGTGTGCTCGTTTGTCAGCAAGCAAGTCCCCGGTCGAGGATGGAATTACAGCGGAGCTTCTAAAAGCGGGTGGAAAACCGGTAGTTGAAGTCCTTCAGAAAGTCTTTAATTTCGTCCTCCATGGTGGCACTACTCCGGAAGCTTTGAGTAGAAATGCGGTGGTTTTATTCTTCAAGAAAGGTGACTACGCTCTTTTGAAGAACTACATACCGATTTTCTTCTGAGCTGCGTCTACGTATTGTTTTTGAAAGTTATTACAGTCAAAACAAACATTTGGTTAGTTGATTACAGTATTATAAATTCAGTACACAGTACACGTGTATTATAAATTAAATTGGCAATTTACAGATCACTTCAGTGTAGTTGAACGGTTGTGACACTGATGGGCATTCATGGCCAGTGCTATCCATTTTCGGAACATGTTCCGAATGGAAGTACGTACACGTGTCATACGTGTCTATCTGAATCTGCTTTTTGTGACTTGCATTTAAAATTACATATGGATAGTTTTTGCGCATTTTTTAGCGACAAACTTATTTATTCTTCTAATTAGCAAACATTTAAATAAAAGCGAAGAATAACAAGAAGGCCTCTCGCGGTTATGTAGGTGATGGGCTTGCCACATATTACTGAGACAAAGGAAAACACGTCCGTACAGTTCAACCATTTATTACGAGAGAAAGAGGTCACAAACTACCTTCCTTATGCTAACAATAAGCTTACCCTACATTACAGCTCCACCCTTATTCTAAACGTACTTAAACTAATATAAAATAAAGCACATATCACTTAACTAACTTACAACTAATCAAAATCAAATCCATAACGTCGCGGGGCCCTACGAGTTCTAGGCGGGTTGGGGCGCTCCCTCGCCGGGCTCGGAGCCGTGGGCGCCGGCTGCTGGGCGGGCGGGGGGCGCGAGGATGTCGCGGCGGGCGCGGACCCGGCCGCGGCCCCTCTGCCACTCGAACTGGGCTCTTCCTCCACCACTGGAGAGGAGCCATTCGGATACACTAGATAGGAACGTGATAATGAACCTCTTCCTCCTTCTGAAACATCCCGGTCTTCCCCTTCCCTATCCGGCTCCCCCGATCGTGGTCTTATCTGGTCGACATGTCTATGAATAAAGACTTTATCAGCCCCTAGAATATTATAGTCCGTTTCTCCTAGTCTGGAGTGTACTTCTCCTTTTAACCATTTTACAACCGAGTTACGATAACCGCGGTACCATACGCGGTCTCCCGGCGCGAACTGCCGGCGACTGCCGCCCGCGGCGCGCGCCTGCCGCGCCTGCTCGCGCCGCACGCGGGGCCCCAACTCCGGCTTCAGACAGTCGAGGCGTGTGCGCAGTGAACGACCTTGTAATAATTTCGCGGGGCTCACACCGGTAGTACAGTGTTCGGTGTTACGATATACGAGTAGAAACCTATTAAGCGCGATATCGATATTCACACCCTGTACTAGTGCCTTTTTTATAACCCGCTTGCTCATTCTAACCGCATTCTCAGCTGCGCCATTCGAAGCCGGTTGATAGGGTGCTGAAAATATGTGTTCTATACCGTTATCCTTAAGAAATAACTGGAATTCCTGACTAGTAAATGGCGGACCGTTGTAACTCACTATCTGTCTTGGCAGACCGAATCTGGCCCACATTTCCCTTAATTTGCTTATTAAATTTTTTGCCGAAATGGAACTCATAGCAGTGACTTCGACCCATTTAGAATGAGCGTTCACGGTGACTAAGTAAGTAGCGCCCCCTATCGGCCCTAAAAAATCGAGATGCAGTCGCGACCACGGGCGCTCTGGCCACAGCCACGGGCGCGGCTCGTGTCGCTCCGGCGCGTCCGCCACGCGCGCGCACACCGAGCAGGCGCGGCACACGGCCTCCACCGCCTCGTCGATCCCCGGCCACCACACGTAGCTGCGAGCGAACTGTTTCGTCTTGGTGATCCCCATGTGAGCCTCATGTAACTCTGCGAGAACTTTCTCCCTGCAACTAGAAGGTACCACTACTCTGTACCCCACATGACACACCCCAGTTCCTCGTATAACTCTTTCTGTCTGTGAAAGTATGGTTTGATATCTTTTATTTCGATATCTTGCGGCCAGCCGTCCCGTATATAGCCGAGGACCCGCCCTAGTATCGCGTCCCTCGCGGTTTCCCGCTTTAAACTATTATTGTCTATTAATAAGGCCTCTGACGCGAAATGTAAATAAGTTTGTTCCGGAAATTCTCGATTTTCCTCCGACCTACTCTCTTTATGGGTAGAAATCATTCGCGACAATGCATCCGCCACATTATCATTAGTTGAGACGTATTCGATATCGAAATCTTAAGCTGTTAATATTAAAGCCCATCTCTGTAATCTACTGGCCGTCATGCTAGGAATACCTTGGTGTGGACCGAATATTGTGACTAACGGTTTATGATCCGTCCGCAATGTAAACCGTCGCCCGTAAATATACTGGTGAAACTTTTTCACAGCAAATAGTTTATAGCTAACGCCTCCTTTTGTATCTGACTGTAGTTGCATTCCGCGGCAGTGAGCGCGCGCGACACACACATGACGGGGCGCTCGCGGCCGGCCGCGTCGCGCTGCGCCAGCACGGCGCCGAGCCCGCGCGCGCTGGCATCACACGTCACCACTAACGGCGCGCCCGGCTCGTAGTGGCTCAGCGCGACCGCGTCACTCAAACGTCTCTTAACTACAGTGAAAGCCTGCTGTTCTAATTTACCCCATTTCCATGTCGAGTCTTTTTTTAGTAGTTCGTAAAGTGGCTGTAAAATGGTACTCAATTTGGTCACGAAACGGCTATAAAAATTGACCATTCCTAAAAATGACCGAAGTTCCGAAATATCTTTGGGTGGTGACCTTGGAAATCTGAACAGACTTCCTTTAAGGAGAACAGTAATCTATAAAACTATCACTACAATAAAATAACAAAATTAGAACAAACAAAAAAAAACCTAACTTATATAATGTATAAATGGAAAAAAGAGAGGAAGTAAAAAAACTTTTAAATTAAAAATTATTTTTTTTTTTAATTCTTCACAGACGAAATTTCGGCTAAAAGCTAGTTGTACATAAACAAATTGCTCAATTTCATACTCGAATGTTTCATCGATAGACTTTTCAACTAATGTCAAATGCGTTTCTTTATTTTTGCAATTTTAATCTTAATTTACACAATTCTTCAATTTCACTTTCGATAAATAGGAAATCGTATTCATCGCGTACACGTAAGTATGCACGCTTTGATGCTGGATGAAAGAATAATCGCGTTCCAAGACTATTGAGCAAATACTTCACACAATAAATTCGAAATTGTCATTCTATTCATTTTGTGCTATCGGCTTTCATTTGGTTTTGCAAATGGCAACCACGTTCTTTGTGTGTCCGCCACTTTTGATATTAGAACATTTTTAAATTTAAAAATACAAGCAATGCTTTTAACATTGTTAATATTTTCTTTAACCACCACTAGTAAGCTGAAAATGCTTGTGTCAGGAGTGGTTCAAGACAATAGTTGAATGGCGGTCCACATCCTGATATATACGAATATTAGCGTAAAATAGAAGCTTAATGCTGCTGTGTTTCTTATGGTGAGTGTAGAGAATCAAAGACCCTTATTACTGGAAACTAGGCATTCCATCGTGGTCCTCAGGGTTGACATGGCATCTGAATTTTGATTCTTAATCGAGAATAAATCAAGATGTCTATGGGCCGCAGCATCCACTTATCATAAGATGGACTGTGTGCTCGTTTGTCAGCAAGCAAGTCCCCGGTCGAGGATGGAATTACAGCGGAGCTTCTAAAAGCGGGTGGAAAACCGGTAGTTGAAGTCCTTCAGAAAGTCTTTAATTTCGTCCTCCATGGTGGCACTACTCCGGAAGCTTTGAGTAGAAATGCGGTGGTTTTATTCTTCAAGAAAGGTGACTACGCTCTTTTGAAGAACTACATACCGATTTTCTTCTGAGCTGCGTCTACGTATTGTTTTTGAAAGTTATTACAGTCAAAACAAACATTTGGTTAGTTGATTACAGTATTATAAATTCAGTACACAGTACACGTGTATTATAAATTAAATTGGCAATTTACAGATCACTTCAGTGTAGTTGAACGGTTGTGACACTGATGGGCATTCATGGCCAGTGCTATCCATTTTCGGAACATGTTCCGAATGGAAGTACGTACACGTGTCATACGTGTCTATCTGAATCTGCTTTTTGTGACTTGCATTTAAAATTACATATGGATAGTTTTTGCGCATTTTTTAGCGACAAACTTATTTATTCTTCTAATTAGCAAACATTTAAATAAAAGCGAAGAATAACAAGAAGGCCTCTCGCGGTTATGTAGGTGATGGGCTTGCCACATATTACTGAGACAAAGGAAAACACGTCCGTACAGTTCAACCATTTATTACGAGAGAAAGAGGTCACAAACTACCTTCCTTATGCTAACAATAAGCTTACCCTACATTACAGCTCCACCCTTATTCTAAACGTACTTAAACTAATATAAAATAAAGCACATATCACTTAACTAACTTACAACTAATCAAAATCAAATCCATAACGTCGCGGGGCCCTACGAGTTCTAGGCGGGTTGGGGCGCTCCCTCGCCGGGCTCGGAGCCGTGGGCGCCGGCTGCTGGGCGGGCGGGGGGCGCGAGGATGTCGCGGCGGGCGCGGACCCGGCCGCGGCCCCTCTGCCACTCGAACTGGGCTCTTCCTCCACCACTGGAGAGGAGCCATTCGGATACACTAGATAGGAACGTGATAATGAACCTCTTCCTCCTTCTGAAACATCCCGGTCTTCCCCTTCCCTATCCGGCTCCCCCGATCGTGGTCTTATCTGGTCGACATGTCTATGAATAAAGACTTTATCAGCCCCTAGAATATTATAGTCCGTTTCTCCTAGTCTGGAGTGTACTTCTCCTTTTAACCATTTTACAACCGAGTTACGATAACCGCGGTACCATACGCGGTCTCCCGGCGCGAACTGCCGGCGACTGCCGCCCGCGGCGCGCGCCTGCCGCGCCTGCTCGCGCCGCACGCGGGGCCCCAACTCCGGCTTCAGACAGTCGAGGCGTGTGCGCAGTGAACGACCTTGTAATAATTTCGCGGGGCTCACACCGGTAGTACAGTGTTCGGTGTTACGATATACGAGTAGAAACCTATTAAGCGCGATATCGATATTCACACCCTGTACTAGTGCCTTTTTTATAACCCGCTTGCTCATTCTAACCGCATTCTCAGCTGCGCCATTCGAAGCCGGTTGATAGGGTGCTGAAAATATGTGTTCTATACCGTTATCCTTAAGAAATAACTGGAATTCCTGACTAGTAAATGGCGGACCGTTGTAACTCACTATCTGTCTTGGCAGACCGAATCTGGCCCACATTTCCCTTAATTTGCTTATTAAATTTTTTGCCGAAATGGAACTCATAGCAGTGACTTCGACCCATTTAGAATGAGCGTTCACGGTGACTAAGTAAGTAGCGCCCCCTATCGGCCCTAAAAAATCGAGATGCAGTCGCGACCACGGGCGCTCTGGCCACAGCCACGGGCGCGGCTCGTGTCGCTCCGGCGCGTCCGCCACGCGCGCGCACACCGAGCAGGCGCGGCACACGGCCTCCACCGCCTCGTCGATCCCCGGCCACCACACGTAGCTGCGAGCGAACTGTTTCGTCTTGGTGATCCCCATGTGAGCCTCATGTAACTCTGCGAGAACTTTCTCCCTGCAACTAGAAGGTACCACTACTCTGTACCCCACATGACACACCCCAGTTCCTCGTATAACTCTTTCTGTCTGTGAAAGTATGGTTTGATATCTTTTATTTCGATATCTTGCGGCCAGCCGTCCCGTATATAGCCGAGGACCCGCCCTAGTATCGCGTCCCTCGCGGTTTCCCGCTTTAAACTATTATTGTCTATTAATAAGGCCTCTGACGCGAAATGTAAATAAGTTTGTTCCGGAAATTCTCGATTTTCCTCCGACCTACTCTCTTTATGGGTAGAAATCATTCGCGACAATGCATCCGCCACATTATCATTAGTTGAGACGTATTCGATATCGAAATCTTAAGCTGTTAATATTAAAGCCCATCTCTGTAATCTACTGGCCGTCATGCTAGGAATACCTTGGTGTGGACCGAATATTGTGACTAACGGTTTATGATCCGTCCGCAATGTAAACCGTCGCCCGTAAATATACTGGTGAAACTTTTTCACAGCAAATAGTTTATAGCTAACGCCTCCTTTTGTATCTGACTGTAGTTGCATTCCGCGGCAGTGAGCGCGCGCGACACACACATGACGGGGCGCTCGCGGCCGGCCGCGTCGCGCTGCGCCAGCACGGCGCCGAGCCCGCGCGCGCTGGCATCACACGTCACCACTAACGGCGCGCCCGGCTCGTAGTGGCTCAGCGCGACCGCGTCACTCAAACGTCTCTTAACTACAGTGAAAGCCTGCTGTTCTAATTTACCCCATTTCCATGTCGAGTCTTTTTTTAGTAGTTCGTAAAGTGGCTGTAAAATGGTACTCAATTTGGTCACGAAACGGCTATAAAAATTGACCATTCCTAAAAATGACCGAAGTTCCGAAATATCTTTGGGTGGTGACCTTGGAAATCTGAACAGACTTCCTTTAAGGAGAACAGTAATCTATAAAACTATCACTACAATAAAATAACAAAATTAGAACAAACAAAAAAAAACCTAACTTATATAATGTATAAATGGAAAAAAGAGAGGAAGTAAAAAAACTTTTAAATTAAAAATTATTTTTTTTTTTAATTCTTCACAGACGAAATTTCGGCTAAAAGCTAGTTGTACATAAACAAATTGCTCAATTTCATACTCGAATGTTTCATCGATAGACTTTTCAACTAATGTCAAATGCGTTTCTTTATTTTTGCAATTTTAATCTTAATTTACACAATTCTTCAATTTCACTTTCGATAAATAGGAAATCGTATTCATCGCGTACACGTAAGTATGCACGCTTTGATGCTGGATGAAAGAATAATCGCGTTCCAAGACTATTGAGCAAATACTTCACACAATAAATTCGAAATTGTCATTCTATTCATTTTGTGCTATCGGCTTTCATTTGGTTTTGCAAATGGCAACCACGTTCTTTGTGTGTCCGCCACTTTTGATATTAGAACATTTTTAAATTTAAAAATACAAGCAATGCTTTTAACATTGTTAATATTTTCTTTAACCACCACTAGTAAGCTGAAAATGCTTGAGTGGTTATATTCTCTTTGCTTGTGTCAGGAGTGGTTCATGACAGTAGTTGAATGGCGGTCCGCATCCTGATATATACGAATATTAGCGTAAAATAGAAGCTTAATGCTGCTGTGTTTCTTATGGTGAGTGTAGAGAATCGAAGATCCTTATTACTGGAAACTAGGCATTCCATCTTGGTCCTCAGGGTTGACATGGCATCTGAATTTTGATTCTTAATCGAGAATAAATCAAGATGTCTATGGGCCGCAGCATCCACTTATCATAAGATGGACTGTGTGCTCGTTTGTCAGCAAGCAAGTCCCCGGTCGAGGATGGAATTACAGCGGAGCTTCTAAAAGCGGGTGGAAAACCGGTAGTTGAAGTCCTTCAGAAAGTCTTTAATTTCGTCCTCCATGGTGGCACTACTCCGGAAGCTTTGAGTAGAAATGCGGTGGTTTTATTCTTCAAGAAAGGTGACTACGCTCTTTTGAAGAACTACATACCGATTTTCTTCTGAGCTGCGTCTACGTATTGTTTTTGAAAGTTATTACAGTCAAAACAAACATTTGGTTAGTTGATTACAGTATTATAAATTCAGTACACAGTACACGTGTATTATAAATTAAATTGGCAATTTACAGATCACTTCAGTGTAGTTGAACGGTTGTGACACTGATGGGCATTCATGGCCAGTGCTATCCATTTTCGGAACATGTTCCGAATGGAAGTACGTACACGTGTCATACGTGTCTATCTGAATCTGCTTTTTGTGACTTGCATTTAAAATTACATATGGATAGTTTTTGCGCATTTTTTAGCGACAAACTTATTTATTCTTCTAATTAGCAAACATTTAAATAAAAGCGAAGAATAACAAGAAGGCCTCTCGCGGTTATGTAGGTGATGGGCTTGCCACATATTACTGAGACAAAGGAAAACACGTCCGTACAGTTCAACCATTTATTACGAGAGAAAGAGGTCACAAACTACCTTCCTTATGCTAACAATAAGCTTACCCTACATTACAGCTCCACCCTTATTCTAAACGTACTTAAACTAATATAAAATAAAGCACATATCACTTAACTAACTTACAACTAATCAAAATCAAATCCATAACGTCGCGGGGCCCTACGAGTTCTAGGCGGGTTGGGGCGCTCCCTCGCCGGGCTCGGAGCCGTGGGCGCCGGCTGCTGGGCGGGCGGGGGGCGCGAGGATGTCGCGGCGGGCGCGGACCCGGCCGCGGCCCCTCTGCCACTCGAACTGGGCTCTTCCTCCACCACTGGAGAGGAGCCATTCGGATACACTAGATAGGAACGTGATAATGAACCTCTTCCTCCTTCTGAAACATCCCGGTCTTCCCCTTCCCTATCCGGCTCCCCCGATCGTGGTCTTATCTGGTCGACATGTCTATGAATAAAGACTTTATCAGCCCCTAGAATATTATAGTCCGTTTCTCCTAGTCTGGAGTGTACTTCTCCTTTTAACCATTTTACAACCGAGTTACGATAACCGCGGTACCATACGCGGTCTCCCGGCGCGAACTGCCGGCGACTGCCGCCCGCGGCGCGCGCCTGCCGCGCCTGCTCGCGCCGCACGCGGGGCCCCAACTCCGGCTTCAGACAGTCGAGGCGTGTGCGCAGTGAACGACCTTGTAATAATTTCGCGGGGCTCACACCGGTAGTACAGTGTTCGGTGTTACGATATACGAGTAGAAACCTATTAAGCGCGATATCGATATTCACACCCTGTACTAGTGCCTTTTTTATAACCCGCTTGCTCATTCTAACCGCATTCTCAGCTGCGCCATTCGAAGCCGGGTGATAGGGTGCTGAAAATATGTGTTCTATACCGTTATCCTTAAGAAATAACTGGAATTCCTGACTAGTAAATGGCGGACCGTTGTAACTCACTATCTGTCTTGGCAGACCGAATCTGGCCCACATTTCCCTTAATTTGCTTATTAAATTTTTTGCCGAAATGGAACTCATAGCAGTGACTTCGACCCATTTAGAATGAGCGTTCACGGTGACTAAGTAAGTAGCGCCCCCTATCGGCCCTAAAAAATCGAGATGCAGTCGCGACCACGGGCGCTCTGGCCACAGCCACGGGCGCGGCTCGTGTCGCTCCGGCGCGTCCGCCACGCGCGCGCACACCGAGCAGGCGCGGCACACGGCCTCCACCGCCTCGTCGATCCCCGGCCACCACACGTAGCTGCGAGCGAACTGTTTCGTCTTGGTGATCCCCATGTGAGCCTCATGTAACTCTGCGAGAACTTTCTCCCTGCAACTAGAAGGTACCACTACTCTGTACCCCACATGACGCACCCCAGTTCCTCGTATAACTCTTTCTGTCTGTGAAAGTATGGTTTGATATCTTTTATTTCGATATCTTGCGGCCAGCCGTCCCGTATATAGCCGAGGACCCGCCCTAGTATCGCGTCCCTCGCGGTTTCCCGCTTTAAACTATTATTGTCTATTAATAAGGCCTCTGACGCGAAATGTAAATAAGTTTGTTCCGGAAATTCTCGATTTTCCTCCGACCTACTCTCTTTATGGGTAGAAATCATTCGCGACAATGCATCCGCCACATTATCATTAGTTGAGACGTATTCGATATCGAAATCTTAAGCTGTTAATATTAAAGCCCATCTCTGTAATCTACTGGCCGTCATGCTAGGAATACCTTGGTGTGGACCGAATATTGTGACTAACGGTTTATGATCCGTCCGCAATGTAAACCGTCGCCCGTAAATATACTGGTGAAACTTTTTCACAGCAAATAGTTTATAGCTAACGCCTCCTTTTGTATCTGACTGTAGTTGCATTCCGCGGCAGTGAGCGCGCGCGACACACACATGACGGGGCGCTCGCGGCCGGCCGCGTCGCGCTGCGCCAGCACGGCGCCGAGCCCGCGCGCGCTGGCATCACACGTCACCACTAACGGCGCGCCCGGCTCGTAGTGGCTCAGCGCGACCGCGTCACTCAAACGTCTCTTAACTACAGTGAAAGCCTGCTGTTCTAATTTACCCCATTTCCATGTCGAGTCTTTTTTTAGTAGTTCGTAAAGTGGCTGTAAAATGGTACTCAATTTGGTCACGAAACGGCTATAAAAATTGACCATTCCTAAAAATGACCGAAGTTCCGAAATATCTTTGGGTGGTGACATCAACAGAATCGATTCTATCTTGTCAGGATCGGGGTGGATTCCCTCTTTATTCATTACATAACCCAAATATTTCACTTTTTCTACAAAAAATTCACATTTTTCCCTTTTTAATTTAAGACCGTACTCTTTCAATTTATCTAGCACTTTACGTAAAGTATGTATATGGTTTTCGATAGTGTCCGAAGCGATCAAAACGTCATCCAAAAATACTACGACCCCCTCGATATCTTTTAACAAGTTAACCATTATTCTTTGAAAAATTCCCGGACTGGATGCTAAGCCGAAAACAAGTCTGTTGTACATAAACAAACCGCGATGGGTGTTAATTACTGTGTACTTTTTGGTATCGTCAAGCTCGATCTGATTGTATGCCTGTGATAAGTCTATTTTGCTGAAAAATTTACTTCCCCCTAATTGCGACAATAAGTCGTCAATTTTAGGCACTGGATACTTGTCGACACATAAGACACGATTGAGGGTTACCTTGTAATCCGCGCATATTCGAATAGCTCCATCCGATTTATTGACAATAACGAGAGGAGTCGCCCAGTCTGAGCACTCGACGGGCTCAATGACGCCCGCGCGCAGCATGGCGTCCAGCTCGGCGTCCACGCGCTCCCGCAGCGCGTAAGGCAGCGGCCGCGCGCGGCAGAACACCGGGGCCGCGTCCGCGCGCACCGCCAGCCGAGCCCGCCCACCCGTGAAGCGCCCCAGCCCGCCGTCGAACAACTCAGCATAGCTGGAAAACAATTCATTTACGGCATAAGATACATTCATGGCTGATTCGTTTAACCTGTTTACATTAAATTTTGGTACGCTGATATCAAGTTCTGACAACCACTGTCTGCCTAATAAAGTAGTAGTACCGTTATTAATAACATATAAGTCTAAAACTTTGCTAGACCGCCCATATGTCACATTAACCTCGCAGTAACCTAATGGCTTTATTTTTGTTCCATCATAAAAGGTTAGTGCTAAATCACATGGTAATAATGGTAAATGATTAAATTTATCTTCATACGTGGTTTTACTAATACACGACAACGCCGAGCCAGTGTCTATTTCCATATTTAAGTTATGTCCACTCACTAATAAACACAAACTCACCGGCTTGTACTGTGACAGCGACATTTGCATCACCGGTTCTTCCTCGGGTGCCTCGTGGTACTCACTCAATGTCGCCCCATCGTCTGCATTGACATAATTTGTTTTCGGTCTCTGATTATGTCCTCCGCGACCGCTGTTCCGGCTTTTCTTTCCAAAGCCCTGTACATTCGCCGCGTTTCCGTTGTAGGCGCCCGGCGCCACCGACTGGTTATTTGTGAAACACACGCGTCGTAGGTGGCCCATCACGCCACACTTGATGCATATGTAGGTTCTGAACTTGCACTCGCTGGCAACATGGTCAACACCTCCGCAAGCTCCGCATAGCGAACCGCGCACCTCCGCGCGGCCTGCGCCGACGCCGCCGCCACCGCCTTACTGTGCCGGGTATGGCGGGCTCGCTGGCCGACGCGCATGGCGTTCAGCCCCCCGTTTGCCCCGCCGCCGCCATCGCCGCGCAGCTGACCCGCGGCCTGCGATGACGTCACCGCTGCGCCCGACTCCACGAGCGCCGCGTCCCGCTCCGCTGCCTCCAGCGATCCCGCTAAAATCACTGCCTTGTCATAGGACAATAATTTTTCTTCCGCGAATAATCTCTGCCGTATGACGTCACTTCGAAGTCCGCACACCAACTGATCCCGTAAATTGTCCTGTAGGACTGCACCGAATTCACAATGTCTAGATAGTTTCTTTAATGCCGCCACGTAATCTCTGATCGATTCACTGTCTGTTTGTCTTCTTTGCCTAAAACGATAACGTTCCGCCATCGGAGATGGTTTCGGTTGCAAATGATTACGTAATAGTACAACTGCATCCAAATACGTAAGTTCCGCGGGTTTCTTAGGACTCGCGAGGGTGGATAACAGTTCATACGCACTTTCACCCATAGCCGCGATCAAGGTCGGCAATTTAATTTCGTCCTTCACTGAATTTGCCACAAAATACATTTCTAGCCGCTCCACGTAAGCAGTCCAGTTACCGGTTTTCACGTCAAACTCACTAATCTTTCCGACCGACATTTTGCACGCTGATTGTTCGCAGTGTAAATTTTCCGTATTTTCTATTTTCACGTATTTTTCGCCGATTTTCACTATTAAAATCCTCGTCGCCAGTGAGACAAAGGAAAACACGTCCGTACAGTTCAACCATTTATTACGAGAGAGAGAGGTCACAAACTACCTTCCTTATGCTAACAATAAGCTTACCCCACATTACAATTACATCTTTCACAATTTCCATCCACACATATTTCCTTTATGTGGCTTAACGTGCCACAAGTAACTCGTTCTTCTTCTCATACTTTTTAACTCTTACACCTCCCTCGATGATTACAGGCTTGACGTATGGAATAGATTTTTTGTATAGAATAAGGGTGACAAGCGACCCATCTACGTCTATCCTCGATTAATAATAGAAATACACATGAGTTGTCACCCCTGAGGACTAAACTGAAATGCCCCGTCACCAATAAAAAGGGTCTCTGGTTCTCAACGCTGAACGAAAAACAACCTTATTATACCCTGGTGGTCCTACTCCGGTTGAGTCGACCCATTTATGCAGCCATAACAAAGCTGCAGTGTTGCTTCACCAGGTTAATTGAAGAGTTTTATAGTTAACATAATAAAAAAGTTTATAATTTCACTGCTATAATGGTTGCTTGTCGCTTATCTCATCTTTATAGCACACAAACATCCTGACCCAGTCGGCACTATAGAAATAATGTAATAAATATATATAATAATGACAAATTTCATTTGACATAAATAATTTAATAAAAAGTTTTGGACAAAAAGTATTACCTATTTAAATATAATTTTAGACTGGTAGCAAATGTGCTATCTTATTATTTACTTTTTAACTCAGCCAAGTTTTAGGCATGATAATCATTTGACATTTAATTTGGAATCAGTTCCAACTAATTTAAATTAGTGAATGGGACAATAGAGGCAATCTCTAGCAATAATAAGAGTTTAATTAACTTTGAATGCAGCACACAAATAAGTAATAAAAATTGTTTATGGTGCATCAAAATATACAAGGCATGATGGGCAAAGAATTAGAAGTTTTTTAAATATTATCAACATACATATCCTTTGTATTACTGAACATTGGCTAAAAAATTATGATTTCATGTTTAATTTCAGAAATCACCAATAGAGAAAAAAGTTTACGTGGTGGCTCCTTAATACTAGCAGATAAATCATTACTATATAAAGAACTTAAGGATATAGTCAACCCCTCTGTTGAGCGAACTGTAGGAATGGCTTACGTCAAGCTCGAGCACCTCATTGTTGTAAGTGCTTACAGACCTCCATGTGCTACTTTGAAAGGATTGTGGAAGAAGTTTTATCTCGTTTTAGCTCGTTATCGACGCGGAGATTCATCATAGACTGAAGGGGTAGCGGTTAATCAGAAGTTTGAAGACGACCAATGTGCGAGTGAACGAGTGATTAGCGAATGTAATAGTTAAATTGTGGGATACCAACAATGGACAAAGCCACTTCGCGCGCGCACACGGCCATCGGAATACTTCGGCAACCTTCGGAATTTACGTCCGTGACATTAACCATACTCTCATCACGCCAAGGTGCCCTTCACTCGCTCAGAGATTCCGGAGTAGACGCACGTTCGATCGCCTTGCATTTTTCTATACTTACGATAGTTTAATTCCCGTATTGTTTTGTTAGTTTCCGCCCTTTTACTCTTGTTCTTTTTGTTTGTATCCAGTGTAGTATTTTTTGGCTTGTTTTATGTGTTAAATGTAAATTCTAATTTAAATCATTATAGCTGACTTATACTGAACTTTGGACTTTCTTTGTTCACCATACTACCTAAGACATAGTGCAGTTAAGAATACCTAATCGCTACATTGGTGACCACGACGATGGCAACGGATGATAAATTCCAAGATGCAGCTGCTGGAGAATCCTGCAGAGTTAGTGTGCGACCTCCGCCTTTTTGGCCTGAGGAACCAGGTTTATGGTTTGCCCAAATGGAAGGCCAGTTTATTTTATCAAATGTGACGTCTGATACAACAAAATTCTACCACGTTATTGCACAACTTGACCAACGGTATGCAACAGAGGTAAAGGATATTATTACTTCACCGTCGTCAACAAACAAGTATGAAAAGTTAAAAACGGAACTTATTAAGCGTCTTTCTGCGTCCCAGGAGCGTAAGGTTAAACAACTTCTCATGCACGAGGAGTTGGGCGATCGAAAGCCATCTCAGTTTCTAAGACACTTACAACATCTTGCCGGACCCGCAGTTCCTAATGATTTTTTGAAAACCCTGTGGTCAAGCCGTTTACCAGGAAATTTACAAACAATAATAGCATCACAGTCTGATTTGCCATTAGATAAGTTGGCAGATTTGGCAGATAAGGTCCACGAGATTGCGCCAACCACACTAGGACAAGTCGCCAGCACTTCATCTTCGGGTATTACTACTTCTTCCTTCGAAGCAATGGTTCAACAGATAAGTGAATTGACTAAGCAAGTAGCGAAACTTACTACAACACAGGTAAATAAGTATCCCCGATATCGCTCAAGATCTCGATCTAAATCTAGGGTCAAAGGTAAGCGCAATTATTCTAAAACGCGACCACCACAGACACCTCCAAATCATCCTCACTGCTGGTATCATTTTACATATGGTACGCGTGCCAGAAAATGCTTAGCACCTTGTAATTGGGAGGCGGAAAACTCAACGGGCAGTCGGCAGTAGCGGCCAACGATTGCCCAGCTAACACAGGCCGTCTATTTATTACTGACCGTGTTTCTAAAATGCTTTTCCTCGTGGATACTGGGTCAGACCTTTGTGTTTTCCCACGGTCAGCTATTAAGACGCCGTGTACCCCTACAAAGTACAGTTTGATTGCTGCGAATGGTACAGTCATAAATACTTATGGAGTTATACAGCTACAGCTGGACCTTGGACTCAGACGTACTTTTACATGGAATTTCACTATTGCCAATATTACGAAACCCATTATAGGAGTGGATTTCTTAAGTTTTTATAATCTGCTTGTAGATTGCCGGAGTCAGCGACTAATAGATGGCACAACTACCCTTTGCGTATCCGCACAACGCCAGAGAGTCCCAGAGGATGTCATCTCAATCAAAACCATCTCTGGTGACAACGAGTTTCAACAGCTGTTACATAACTTCCCGGAGATCACCCGACCTGCAGGTACTGTAACTACACCTAAGCATAATACAAAACACTTTATAAGAACTATACCGGGACCGCCAGTAACCTGTAGGCCTCGGCGTTTAGACCCAGTACGCATGAAAATTGCTCGAAAAGAGTTTGAAAATATGTTGGCACAAGGCATTGTAAGGCGTTCTGAGAGTCCTTGGTCATCAGCTTTACATCTTGTAAAGAAAAAAGATGACGGATGGAGGCCGTGCGGGGACTACAGATCACTTAATGCAAGGACTATCCCTGACAGATATCCCATTCATCACATACAAGATTTTTCTTACCAACTTTCTGGATCCACTATATTTTCTAAGATTGATTTAGTGAAGGCATACAACCAAATTCCTGTAAATCCTTCGGATATACCAAAGACTGCCATAACTACACCATTCGGGCTTTATGAATACCCTTTCATGAATTATGGTTTGCGAAACGCAGCGCAAACTTCTCTCTGGTCTTGACGATTTTTGCTTCGGATACCTCGACGATATTCTGGTTTTTTTACCTTCCCCTGAAATACATAAACGCCACTTACTACAGCTCTTTGAGAGGTTAAAAGCTTACGGCGTGTTGATCAATACGACGAAGTGCGTGTGGGGACAACACGAGGTGACATTCCTTGGATACCATGTGTCTGCAGCCGGCATCTTACCGCTAAATACAAAAGTACAAACTATACAAGAATTTCCCATACCACGCACTGTAAAGGAACTCCGCAGATTCTTAGGTATGATCAATTTTTATAGACGTTTCATACCAAATGCAGCTAGGATACAAGCACCGTTAAACGCCGTCTTAGCGGGACCTAAAGTGAAAGGATCTCATCCCATTAGTATGACACCAGATCTTTTGAAAGCATTTGAAAAATGCAAAAATGCTCTTTCTAATACTACACTTTTAGTACATCCTAATTCATCGGCCGAGCTCTCAATTCACACCGACGCTTCAGATGTGTCCATCGGTGCTGTGCTGCAACAACGCAAGGGCACTGAATGGGAACCCTTAGGTTTCTTTTCGAAAAAGCTGAATTCCGCACAAAAAAAATATAGCCCTTATGACCGGGAGCTTCTAGTAATTTACGAAGCAATCAAATATTTCTTACACATGGTAGAGGCTAGAGTCTTCAGTGTGTACACAGATCATAAGCCTCTTACCTATGCTTTCTCTACTGCAAGAGATAAATGTCCTCCGCGACGCTATCGCTACCTAGATTTTATTGCACAGTATACCACAGACATTCGCTACATTCCGGGACCAGATAATGTAGTAGCTGATACGCTTTCACGGGTAGAAGAAATTAAAATATCTTTAGATTACCAGGCTCTTGCACGATCTCAAGATAAAGACCCTGAACTGCAACATCTGCTGCAAAACGGTTCATCATTAAACCTACAGAAAATCGAACCAATAGGAGCAAACCTTAAAGTATACTGTGACGTATCTGTACAGCAGCCAAGACCTTTCATTACAAAAGCATTTAGAAGGCAAGTGTTCGATATGCTTCATGGATTAAGTCACCCAGGAAGTTCAGCTACAGTACGTCTTGTCACTGATAGGTTTGTCTGGCCTGGCATTCGTAGAGACTGTAGAGAGTGGGCTAGGCATTGCCTTGATTGCCAACGAAGCAAGATTACCCGTCACACTTCCGCTCCCCTTTCCTCTTTTCCTACGCCTTCATCGAGATTCTCTCATATACATCTCGATATTATAGGGCCTCTAACTCTCTCTTATGATTTCAGATATTGCCTCACTATCATCGATAGATTTACACGATGGCCTGAGGCGATTCCCCTGAAAGACATCACAGCAGAATCCTGTGCCTCCGCTCTGGTATCTGGGTGGATATCCAGATTCGGCTGCCCTGCTCGAATTACAACGGACAGAGGACGCCAGTTCGATTCCAGCTTATTTAAGGCAATCGCATCCATGGTTGGTGCTTGTCATTTCTGCACAACTGCCTACCACCCTTCTGCTAATGGAATGGTGGAGCGCGTACATCGCCAGCTGAAAACTGCCATTATGTGCCACAACTCTACACAATGGACTGAGGTACTTCCGCTTGTTCTTCTTGGTATTCGCAGCTCTTGGAAAGAAGATATTCAAGCTTCGTCTGCTGAACTGGTGTATGGCGAACCTCTTCACCTTCCTGGCGAGTTCATGAGCCCTAAAGAAAACCACTGCACTAAAGATTTCACCACCTTCGCCGCCCGTCTACGCTCACATATGGCTAAGCTGACGCCAAAACCAGCTAAGTGGCATAGAAATGGTCCATTTTATATACCCAAAAATCTAACAGATTGCAGTCATGTATTCCTGCGTCAGGACCATGTACGAAAATCACTAGAGCCTCCATATGCGGGCCCGTATCAAGTTTTAGGCAGGCACCCGAAGTTTTATAAAGTGCTCGTGCGAAATAAAGCGGTCAGCGTCAGTATTGATCGTCTAAAACCTGCGTATGTTACAGATAGACCCACAAATACTTCGGTTGCTACATCTTCATCACCTCCTCTTCCAACATGCATCCATAACGACCAAAAAACGAAGGAAAGGATTACTAAGAGTGGAAGAAAAGTTCATTTTCCTGATTACTATCGACCGTAGCCACGGTCTCGGCGGGGGAGTACTGTGGGATACCAACAATGGACAAAGCCACTTCGCGCGCGCACACGGCCATCGGAATACTTCGGCAACCTTCGGAATTTACGTCCGTGACATTAACCATACTCTCATCACGCCAAGGTGCCCTTCACTCGCTCAGAGATTCCGGAGTAGACGCACGTTCGATCGCCTTGCATTTTTCTATACTTACGATAGTTTAATTCCCGTATTGTTTTGTTAGTTTCCGCCCTTTTACTCTTGTTCTTTTTGTTTGTATCCAGTGTAGTATTTTTTGGCTTGTTTTATGTGTTAAATGTAAATTCTAATTTAAATCATTATAGCTGACTTATACTGAACTTTGGACTTTCTTTGTTCACCATACTACCTAAGACATAGTGCAGTTAAGAATACCTAATCGCTACAAAATGATTGTATGTATAAAATGGCCAATCCAGTGAGTGTATTGAACCGGAGACACTTTTCACTGGTAACGAGGCATTCCATCTTAGTCATCAGAGGTGACAACACATCTGAATTTTTATTCTTAAACTACGATAGATCTAGATGTTAATGGGCCACACACACAGGACAGTATACACTTACAATCAGGTTGGGTTGACTGTGTGCTCGTTTGTCACTCTTATTATATAAAAAAACACGTGTAAAGCTTTCTGATATTTTTCAAAAACTGTCACATGAATATAATGTTTTAACAACATGATGTTGAGCGAGTCGATCGACGCTTGTTTCACTGGATCTAATGCAAAGGCTTCCGATTCACTGGAGCGTGAACTGCATCATTCCCAACTCCCAACGTATCGCTTTTATTTTATTTTATACGTAGTTTGTCCCGACGAAAATGTATTACTGTTTGAGTTAAAATATTTTCTGGCTCGAATCTCACGCGCATTTTAAAGTTATTTTTCATGTGTCTTGGTAGGAATGATCGTTGAAGCATTAGAGCCCATCAAATTTCCACAGCTGCACATAAGCCTCCCCCAAGGAAAACAACAAAGCTCGATCTTAAGTCACCTATATCCATCGACTTCGATTGGAATGGACGTACTAAACTTCACGTTCTACACCAGTATGAGGCTGCCACTCGAGTACCTTCTTTCCCATCGTTTGTTAGTTCATCGAGCTATACAGCCGGCCTATTACCTCTTTAGCTTCACTTCGCTAAGGCATTACAAGAGCCATAACGTTTTCGTTCCAAATGTGTACTGGGGTTTTTGGATTCCTCGAATATGATATTGAGGTGTAATTGGTCGAGTCTGCAGCATTGGTTGGTAAACTTTGACTGCCAAAAGGTCTGGTAAATGGTGCCATTGGACATATTACAGAAATCATCTCATTAAACCCAAGACTGTACAATTTCCAGCAAATTATAGTCACGGCACTGCAGAACGAAGAATGCTGCCAATTGTATTATGTTGGGCTTGCACAGTACACAAAATGTAGGGTAGTACTGTCGACCATGCCGTTGTATAAGTATACAACGGCATGGCATGGTCGATAATACTACCCTACATTTTATGTACTTCTACTTAGGTTCGAAACTCTTCGCTGCTGGTCAAGCATACGCGGCCTTAAGTAGGATAAAATCATTAGAAGATCGCCTTATTGAAGAGCCAGACTGTTCGAAATTAACCGACAAACGACCTTGCAACAATGATGTATTGAATGAGATGATCAGATTGAGAAACCTGTCCAGCGATAACTAAAAAGTAAAACATAAATTGTAAGTAAAAAAAACTTTTTACTTATAACAAGCTTTCATTTAAATGCGCTAAAAAGAATAAAATAAATTTTTCCTTTAAAACAATAACTATCAACTTATAACGTCATTACACAATTTATAGTAGTAGTATAGTAGTTACCACTAACTATTAAGCAATTAAATGGAAATATGTTCAAAACAAAATTAAGGAAATTGTTAATTGAAAATGTTTTTTACAATCTCAATGAGTATTTTAGTAAAAGTAATGTTAGTAAGTAGTTAATTTTAAATTTATTTTTCATTGTTGCATATCCGACATGGGTAGACTGTTGAGCCTAAAACTATATGTTTTTCTATTAAGATCATATTGTACACAGTTATGCAATAAATGTATCTTTATCTTTATCTTATCTTTATCTTTATCTTATATGATATAAAAGCTTGTCGCGAGATTTACCTGTGTAGATAAACAGGATCTGATTGATTTTAGTTTTTAAAATTTTCAAACTAAGTAAATACGAGTAAGTAGAAATGAGTAGAAACTTAAATCTCGCGACAAGCTTTTATATCATATAAATTGTGTAATGACGTTATAAGTTGACAGTAAAAGTTTTCGTTCCTAAGCTCTTTTAGCATTTAAAATTTGTTTGCTGTTAGCCAGTCTATACATATAACTTATCGCCATGTCTGAAATTGAAGAAATGAATATTAGTGTAAAGGATTTTGTCATTAATCTACAACTTCGTTTTACAAGTATTTATAGAAATATATATCACACTATGATGAAAACGTAGTGTACAGTTACAAATAACAAAATTAGTTAAAAAGTTACGTTGTAATGAGAGTTACATTACCACTGACATAGACGAGATTATTAAAAATATTGAACACCCTACAGTTACAGCATCGGTGCTCTACTGTACCGTTGATGCGGAAAACTATACTCTCTTCGCTCACTCTCGTCGTTGTACCAGTAAGTTTGATTTAATTGAAATATGACAATCAGATTGTTTTATGTGATGATATTTATGTTTACTAAATTTAAAAAAAAGTATCAAAACAATTTGAAAATTTGATAACCTACTTTGGAGAATTTTATCATAAACCTCGGAGTGACAATCCACTTGCCTTTGCTTTTAAAGT